AGCAAGACTGCATCTCAAAAAAAAAAAAAAGAAAGAGAAAAGAAAAAGCACACAAAAGAAACTTAGTGCCCCTGCAGTGCCATGGAGTGGGTTTGCGGAAGATGTGGGAGGGAGGAGTGCTGTCAAGGTTCGGGAAGCGTCTGGGGTGAGCTTCCTCCGCTGGTCTGGGTGGAGCTGGGTGGGGGCTCAGCCCCTGGAGGGCTCTTCATTAACTCGCAGACATTTCCCTGGAGCCCCTGGGCTCCAGTGGCAGCCGTGCACCTCTGGGGCCCCTGCTCTCTATTTTGCAAATTGTTTCATCATCATCATTAGTGAGTATTTACCACGCACTTCCCATATGCTAGTCCCTGAGCCACAGCCTGGGAACCTGGGGCTTACGTGGGTGGGGGGGCATGGGAGCACACGAGGGCCGGCTGGGGATGCGGGGAGGCCCACTGGAGCCCAGGTTACCATGATGCTGTCCCGTGACTGTGTGTGGCACCTCCTTTCCCTGCGCTGGGATGGGTGTCTGGTGGGGGCGTCTGCTCTGGGGTACCCACAGGACTCCCCTTTGCTTACAGCTGGCCCCTGTGGTTGGGTTGAGGTCCGTGCCAGCATCCTCCTGGAGGTCCAGGGTCATGAGATTGGTAGAGCCCCCTGGTACCCTCCCCTGGGTTGGTGTCAGAGTTTCAGCCTGAGAAGGGATCACACACCAGTGGCTAAAGTGACGTCCCCTCCCAGCTCTGGAGGCTGCAGAAACCCTCCAGTCTCTAGGGGCTCCAGGCCTCCTTGGCCTGTGACTGCACCGCTCTTTAATGCAGCGTCTGACCCTTTTCCCGGGCTGGAGTGCGGTGGTGTGCTCACAGCTCACTGCAGCCTCCACCTCCTGGGCGTAAGCGGTCCTCCTGCCTCAGCCTCCAAAGTAGCTGGAACTATAGGGGCGTGCCACCATGCCTGGCTAAGTTATCTTTACTGTTAACTTTTATTTTACTTTATTTTATTATTATTATTTTTTTGAGATGGATTTTTGCTCTTGTTGCCCAGGCTGGAGGGCAGTGGCAGGATCTCGGCTCACGGCGACCTCTGCCTGCCAGGTTTAAATGACTCTCTGGCCTCAGCCTTCTGCGTAGCTGGGAGTACAGGAATCCCCCACCATGCCCAGCTAATTTTTTGTATTTTTAGTAGAAATGGGGTTTCACAATGTGGGCCAGGCTGGTCTTGAACTCCTGACCTCAGGTGATCTGCCTGCCTCAGCCTCCCAAAGTGCTGGGATTACAGCTGTGAGCCCCCACGCCCGGCCGAAACTCTTTTGTTTATAAATTACCCACTCTCTGGCAATGTCTTCCTAGCAGCGTGGGAATGGATTTGTACACGTGGGGAAGGTGAATCCTCCAATTCCCCCACCTGTGAGATCCCCAACACGGAGGACACCAGGACCAGCTTCCAGAGGGCCAGGCTCAGGCAACAGAGTGCAGGGTAGGCCAGCGTGGCCTTGGGTGCCAGCGACCTGGCACCCAACGGGAATTCAGGGATGAGGCTGGGTGTGGCGGCTCACACCTGTAATGCCAGCACTTTGGGAGGATAAGGTGGGAGGATGGCTTGAGTCCAGGAATCTGAGACCAGCCTGGGCAGCATATTGAGACCTCGTCTCTACAAAATAGTCAGGTGGGTGAGGCATGCCTGTGGTGCCCGCTAGTGAGGAGGCTGAGGTAGGAGGACCGCTTGGCCTCGGGAGGTCGAGGCTGCAATGAGCTGTGATCGCACCACAGCGCTCCAGCCTGGGCAACGGAGCAAGACCCGGTCTCAAATAACAGCAAAAAAGTGTGGAGATGCTGGCTCCTGTGGGAAGCTGGGTGGGTGTGGGGGCACACCCTCCACCCTGCAGCGCCTTCCCGCCCCTCTGGGGCTGAGGCGCTCCCGAGGCCCCGCCTCCTGGGTGGCAGAGGGAACGTGGGAAAGGCTGCGGGCCCTGGGTTCCAGGGCAGCCCCGTGAGGCCCGTTATTCATACAACTTGGAGAGAAAGCAGCTTTTTGTAGGAAAACATGGGGTGCTGGTGGCCATTTCCACACGCAGTCAGATCTGGGCAGCCTCCCGCTCCACGTGCACGCTGCCCTCTGTGAAGCAGGACGCTGGCTCTCCCTTGGCAGTTGGTCAAGCGGATGGACGTTGTATTTGTTGAAGGGAATTGCTGTCTCGTTGGGCGTGGGTCATTAGTGGCATAACCAACACACACGTCTTCCCTGGGGGCCGCCACGCCTTGTCAACAGGTGGAGGCCCCGACAGGCTGCAGTTAGCAGCTAATGAGGACGCTTGTGGTGACCCTCGCCTCCAGCCACAGTCGCACAGTGGGTTGTGAAAAATAACGCTGTCAATTTAAAATAGTGGAACGGGGCCAGGCACGGTGGCTCACGCCTGTAATCCCAGCACTCTCCCGAGGCGGGTGGATTATGAGGTCAGGAATTCGAGACCAGCCTGGCGAACGTGGTGAAACCCTGTCTCTACTAAAAATACAGAAATTATCCCAGTGTGGTGGTGCACACCTGTAATCCCAGCTACTCAGGAGGCTGAGGCAGGAGAGTCATTTGAACCTGGGAGATGGAGGTTGCAGTGAGCCGAGATCGGACCACTGCACTCCAGCCTGGGTGACAGAGTGAGACTCCGTGTCAAAAAAGAGAATGACTGTTGCAGAGTGGGCGTGCTCAGAGAGCAGGAGGAAGAACTCACTGTCCCCTGTGAGCGTCTCTGCTCCTAAGCAGCTGTGAGGACCTGTGAGCAGAGCTGCAGTGTGCAGGTGTTGGTGGGGTCGGTGACCCTCAGCCTCAGCCTGCTCACTGAAGCACTGAGCGAAGTGGCCACACTCTCAGGAGGTGTGGACGCTCTGAGGCCCGCTGGGAAATGTGCCACATGGCCAGAGCTATTTTGCAATTACAGTTGGGGGCCAGCTTGGGAAGTATCTGTTTTCAGCTCCTAAGCATGAGCCTTATATGTGCACATGCCCTGTGAGTGCCAGGCCAGGCACTTCGAGATGGAGTCACTCTGGTTGTGCTTGATGAAGCTAGAGACCTGGTGAAAGGCAGGCTTCCTCCATCATAACCGTCCTGGTGCCCCTGTTCTGGCCCAGGTGTTGCCAGCATCTCAGCCCCAGGGCCAAGTGCTGCTCCGTGCACTGACGCTGTTTTGCGGGACCGGAATCTCCCAGAACTGCCCACCCAGCCTTCAGCCGAGCCAGGACCACCCCAGAGTGCCTGGCTCTGAGCTGTGCCCATGCTCCTCTGCTGAAGCCAGGAGACCTGGTTCTCATGAGGGATGTGGCCCCTCATCCGAA